AGATCAAGCCCAAGTAGGGATTCCGGCCCAATTGATCCGCCGGGCTTTACAATTTGGAGTCGATTCGGGCCCGGGACCGGGCTGGATCGGCCCATTAAGGTGGACCGCCCCGAATTCACCTCAATATTAGGATAGGGGGAACGAACTTGGTTGGAAGTTCGATGTCGCTTTTGTGGACTTTGACACTGAATGAATCCGCGTTTGTCAGGGGCGTTCACTCTGATCCCCAACCGACCCGTTGGTCCTATACGGGTTTCTTGAAACTTGTCCATGTGTCCAAGTGATTTTTCCATGCAGCTGCTCTCTTGAAACTTGAACACTTGTTCGGTTGGTCACCCACCTTTCCAGCTGCTTCCCTTCACTAATGCTGCCTTTAACGTGTTAGGCTTCCACTCACAAGTGGTAAAGGAAAAGGAGAGAGAGTTCACGAGGGTTTGATAAGGTAAGTTGCAATTTTGCATCCTTGTCCCTGAACATTTAATTGCTGGATGAAATGAATCGATCTACATCACATGACTCATGCTTTTCGCTCCAAATTGATGAGGACAAGTACCGTGAAATCGCGGTTCGAAGTATTTGGCGATGCTGCATTGATGTCATTGCGGAAGGAGTGCGGAATAAGACTTAGGTTTTGGCCGTTGGTCATTGGAGGAATTAAGGTTTTATTTTGGTCAATCAAGGACTCAAGTTTTAAATTCGTCGCATCAAGTCTTGGACTCATTGTCAGTGGGATTCGAGTGTCGGAAACCGAACTTGGCAAATGAATTAAAAATTCAACATGGGAGCCCTGCCGGATTTTCGACCCCTAAATTGAATTCCGCTAATGGTGAGCTTGAGACTTGATTGGGGCTTTTTTAAAAACGTCGGTCCTCAATCAATCGTAATAGAACCTTGAGACCAGCATCCAAACTTTAAGTCATGTTTCTACTCTGGTCATGGTAGACCAAGTTCAAGCCATGATTGACCAATTTTTGGAACAACTATTCTAATCAAGTAATCGTGCAACTGATGCATTGGCGGCCAATCCATGCAGACTCTTAAATTCAATGAATCGTACCTGATTTTATAGTTCGGATGTAACGAGTACATGCATTAAATACCTAATCTTTCAGATTTGGTCCTTCAAAATACTAGAATAGAGCCGAATCAAGTATTATAACGATTTGACTCGACATTTGTCGAGCTCTTCAAATTCTAATTAGGTATCGTTTGGTACGGCTTCTTTGCAGCAGTTTTAACTATGAAAAGGAGTGCTGCCGTTTTTATGAGGTATATGTGAAGTACCTTCGAGTTACAGCACTACCAAAACCGCAGTAGCTTACGGACTCTTATAGGAAGCAGCATTGCGCAGCATTAGAATTCGACAATTTTGAAGCGTTTGCTACAAAAAATATAGGGATAAGTGCATTCAAAGTCCTAAAACTTGTCACGAAAATGAAATTGAGTCCTAAAACTTTCATAATGTGCAATTAAGTTTTAAAACTTGTCAGGAAAGTGCAATTGAGTTCTAAAACTTTCAAAAAGTGCAAACAAGTCCTAAAACTTATCACGAAAGTGCAAACAAGTCCTAAAACTTGTCAAATTAGTTCAATCAAGTCCTTCTATTAGTTACACTTTTTGAAAGTTTTAGGACTTGATTACACCTTCATGATAAAATTTAGGACTTGATTACACTTTTTGAAAGTTTTAGGACTTGATTGTACTTTCGTGACAAGTTTTAGGACTTGATCGCATTTTTTGAAAGTTTTAGGACTCAATTGCACTTTCCTGACAAGTTGTAGGACTTCTAGGTCACGCATGCGCAACCATTTGGTGCCCTGAAGCATTCCAGTCGAAATGATTCTTTTTATTCTCGTGCCTTGAACGATTCGGCGTTGAAGGCGTTTGGTAATGGTCAAAATTTCTATTCCCGAAATAGTAAAAGAACATAAATGTGTTTTGTAACGGCATAAAATTTCTTTTTATTAATAATATTTTAAATATTTTAATATTTCTTTCTTTTCTTTTTTTCTTCTCCTCCTTCTTGGCCATGGCCGGTAAAATATTTTTTAATTAATAATACTTTTATTAAAAATAAATTTTTTATTTTTTTTGGCCATGGCCAGTAAAAAATTTCTTTATTAATAATAGTTTTATTTAAAAATAATTTTGTTATTATTTTTGGCCGTGGTCGGTAAATTTTTTTTATTAATAATATTTTTTTCTTTTTTTTGGCCATGACCGGTAAAATATTTTTTTTATTAATAATACTTTTATTAAAAAATAATTTTTTTATTATTTTTGGCCATGGCCTGTAAATTTTTTTTTATTAATAATATTTTTTCTTTTTTTTGGCCATGGCCGGTAAAATATTGTTTTATAAATATTTTTTAAAAAATATTATTAATAAAAAAAATATTTTTATTGAAAAAATATTTTTTATTTTTTTTGCCTGGCCAGTAAAATATTTTTTTTATTAACAATTTTTTTATTAATAATATTTTTTATTAAAATATTTTTTTCCTTTTTTTTTGCCATGGCCTGGTCGCCCTCCTAGGCCGATAAAATATTTTTTTATTAATAATTTTTTTATGGCCTAGTCGCTGGCCATGGCTGATAAAATAATTTTTTTTTTGTTCATGGCCGGTAAAATATTTTATTATTAATAACATTTTTTTATTAAAATATTTTAATCTCGCCAGATACGGTGAGGGTGGCCCTCGCGCTGGACATTAGAAGCTACATTAAAAACCAAGAAAAAGAAGAAGAAAAAAAAATTGATTCTCATTTTTGTTCCGAGAATCAAGAAGCTATTTTTTTATTCTTAATTCTGCTCCAAAACTGATTCTGGGCACAAATTTGCAAGAATTTGTGCCCAGAATTAAAAAATTTAACAAACAGATTTCTGTTCCAAAACTAATTCTGGGAACAAAAGAACAGAAATTTTCACTATTTGGCCAGTTGCCAAACAGGCCCCTAGTGCACTTATCCCAAAAATATAAGTTACAACATTCCATAGCATCACAATGAAAATATAAGGGTCGGTGGTGGCCGTCGCCCCTTCATTGTTAAATGTGGTTAAACTTTATCCTGCAAAATTTCATGTGCATTTTCTTTAATTCGAAGTTGATTTTTCATTTCGCTTTTCTCAATTGATCACTCTCCAATCGACCTAAATACAAATCCCGCCGTGGGTACCTTGATAAAATGGCGATGATAATCGACATCAAACCCCTGTCTGATACTCACGTATAAGTGCAATATATACTGGTAACACCAATTAAAGTTCATTACTGTCGAAGCTCCCTTTGACATAGATTCAATTATATTATCAGATTTGACGTACGCAAGTTACTTTGTGATTGAATATATGCTTTGAAACGATCCCTCCAAGAAAATAGTTACTGAGGAATCTGCCAATACACTTCACACAAAAATGAGAAATGTTAGGGATGTCCATAGTCAAGGAATAGGTTTCCAAACCACTCATAATTCATTGTTTACCGATTTTTAGATCAGTTATTCTTATTGTTAAAGATAATTAGGATATTTTTCTTAATTTTACATATATCTCTCTTAATTGTGCATGTCCCTGATTGATTATAGTTGATATTATGATTACATTGTTAACTTAGATAATTATCCAATAGAACTTATAAATGGGCTCATGTACTTCACTATGGTATAGAGAAATACACATAATTTACATAGTGCTACTCTCTTCCGCATTATTCCTTTCGTGGTATCAGAATATGATGTCATGAGTTTAAATTTTTCTAGGCCTCGTATCTGCCTCCTTTATTATGTATTACTATGCTTAGTATTAGGCCAAAATTGGTCTTATACATGAGGAAGAGTGTTAGAATATTTAAATATTAAATAATGCCTTTATTTAATAGTTCAAGCTTTTTAAAAGTAATCCTACAACATCTCGCAGTGTCAAAGAGAGGCAATTTTGAGGAAATTTTGAGTGCACCCGGCACACATCACACTTGGTACACACCCAAGTGCACACCTTGGTGCACATACCAAGTGCGCACACCCGGAGCATACCTCGCATCTCATGTCATCTCTTTTGTCATTACTACCAATATCTCCCTCTCAACGTGAATCCCGCAATATTGATCGTCTTGTCTAATGGCGATGCTAGCAACCACGTTAGCCTATTTAGTTGTCTCGTAGCCTGCATAGTAACCATGACAACCTCTTGCCATGACGATAGCTTCATGCCACGTAGTTTGCGCAGTAGCCGCGACAACATGCAACTGCCACATAAGCAACCATGTCAACGTTAGCCGGTTCTCTCTAGAGCACAACAAACCGCAACAACAATCCAACCCAGGCCTTTTTTCAGATGTTTTTTCGAACTCTAGTCTACTTCCAAGCCATTTGAGTTTGAGGGCAATGTTAAAGAGGATTAGGGTATTTCCCTTGATTCTTTTATTCTCTCAGGATTGTGAATATATATCTCTTGATTGTGCATATTCATGATTGATTCAATTAATATCATGATTATTTTGTTAATTAATATAGTCATCTAATAAAACTTATAAATAGGCTCACGCTCTACTATTTTACACAAAGAAATATACATAATTTACACAATGCCCTCTCTTCCGCATGCGACATCAAAATAAACTCAAACTTTTCCTTGGATTTCAATGTTATGCCCACAAACACGGTTTTCTTCAAAGCCTTCCCTAAAAGGAGTCTGTTCTAGACACCCAGTCAATTCGACAACTCCTACGCTCCAAAAAGTGAGCAAGTTCGGGTAAAGGATCTCTCGAATATTGGGTAGCTCGTAGCGGTCGTCTAATCTCTTATCATTATTCTGTACATTTACATTATTTCCATCACAGATTACCGGGTCAAAAGAAACAAGAAATGGCAACCTAACATTGTCGATAGTCAACCCTCACGGTAGATATTGTCTTTTTCTATGCGGGGTTCCATAAATTTTATATATCTAATTTACGTCCTCGAGACAGAGACACGTGTGTATTCTGAAGAGCACCATCAAATCGGCAATTCAGAAACCATTTAAACACAAAAACCCGAAATAGCTATACTGTGACGCAGGTCTCTCTCCTTAGCCATCCAAAACTGCCTCCTCGCGTGAACGGCCAAAGAAGGAGCGATCAAATCTCATGGGGATCGTGGAACAGGCGCACAACGTCCGGGTCCTGGGGTCTGGGGACGAGACCATAGTCCTCGCGCACGGGTTCGGGACGGACCAGTCGGTGTGGAAGCACCTCGTGCCCCACCTGGTCGGTTCGTACAGGGTCGTGCTGTACGACAACATGGGGGCAGGGACCACCAACCCGGACTACTTCGACTTCGAGCGGTACTCGTCCCTTGAGGGCTTCGCATACGACCTGCTCGCGATCCTGGAGGAGCTGGGGATAGTCCAGCCATGCATCTTTGTCGGCCACTCCCTCTCGGCCATGGTCGGCGCCCTCGCCGCCATCTCCCGCCCCGACCTCTTCTCCAAGATCGTCATGCTTGCCGCCTCGCCGAGGTGAGCCCGGAAACTTTCTCTGTGCATGACAAATTTAGGTAATTAGTGTTAGGAAACATACTTGATTTGTTTGAAGACTCAGTTCACTAAACAAAACAGGAAGAAAATAGAGATTGTAGAATGGAGAGGAGTTCTGTCTGTCTGCCGAGACTTTCCCTATGGACGCGCTGGGCTGTGTGTTCATCTTTCACTTTTGTCCCTCATTTTCTGAGAGTTTAGTCTTACGATTTTATCGTCAGATAGGTTTGAAGATAGGTTTACTTCCTCCCCATCCTCTCTCTCTCTCTCTCTCTGAGAGGGATAGTCATACTAAATTTGTGCAGTAAAAATGAAGAAAATCATTCACAGTCCTGAACCTATTATATAAATGTCGTTTTAGTTCTAAATCTTTCGATATAATCTTAAAACTACGTGAAATTTTAATATAACCCGGCCTTCCGGTCAATTTGCAAGCCGGTGATTTCAAGGCATAAGGGAGAGAGGGTAAAGGACAAGATATATGTAAGTTCCACGTAAAGAGCTCAAGGGAAGGATTAGAGGGGAATTGTCCCTCTCTCCCTTTTGTTTGTAAGCCTCCCATAGTGTCAGATCAGATAGACTTGATCATACCTATCTATGCTTAGTATAACCACATTCAAGTCCTCTTTCTTCTTAACTTGCACATCCTATCTCTTCTGCATTCTCTTCTGTATGGTTTGAGTTTTCAGGATTCAGTATGTATAATTAAAGCCATAATCGAGAGAATGTTTATTCGGGTGCACGTCACATGGCACGTCACTCAACCTTTGTAATTGCCACGTGGTCTATATTCAGGGTCATTCTTGCACATCACACGGCGCATGCTAATAGAAAAATATCAGAGTTAATAATTGTAACAAAATGAAAGTTTTGAGAGTAATATATAATAGTTGAAAGTTTGCGAACGAACATGTGCCGTCCCAAAGTTTAGGTGGATTCAGTCTAATTTTCCCCGTCTTTAAATATATGATTTATCCATTTGATCTGAAATATATGCCACGAGATAAATTTATTGTATTAGATGAATTATACTGAGAATTTGAAGTATAACTTTTTGTTTGTTACGCGAATAAATGCATTTTTTATCCATTCAAATAAAAGTCAAATCAAAATAATTTCAACAATAACTTATTTTATCATGTGAACAATCTAAATTTAAACAGTGTAGCAAAAGAATAAAAATTTGCATCTTATTTGAAACATGCACGTTTGTATTCAATTTAGTTTTATTTCTGAAATATAGGTCATATCATTCGAAGCAAACCCGTTTAATAGAAAATGAGAACCAAAATAATTTGTTATAAGTTGAAATTGAGATTCTTTAGGAAGAAAGAAATTAGATAAGAGAGAAGTTTAGAAGTTTTAATATATCAATTTACTATTTGACAAATTTTGTTTACATATTGCAAGTTATCATAAATTTAAACATTTGTGGCTTAGCAATCAAAGTTAAATCATAGCAAAAGTTTTAGAATTTCTTTAAATTTTAAAATTGTTGAAAAACTAGTATACATCTAATTAGTTGATTACAAGTTGTGAATATCATGCACAGACAAACTTAGCTAAAAATAATGCGATCGATGTCCATGTTTATGGCTTACCAATCAGACAATTGGTTGGGGAAAGTTTCTTCCAAGCAGGGATGAAGGGGAATATGACCCTTCAAAGAAATGTCCGTCCTCAAATTGAAAAGTGTATATAGATACTTGGTTTTCTTATGGAAGCAAACATAGGTGAATTGATCACATGGATGTGTTTATCTCTAGGTACTTGAATGATCCGGAGTACTATGGCGGCTTTGAGCAAGAGGACCTCGACCAACTCTTTGAGGCAATGCGGGAGAACTACAAGGCGTGGTGCTCCGGCTTCGCGCCGTTGGCCATTGGCGGCGACATGGACACGGTGCACGTCCAGGAGTTCAGCCGGACCCTGTTCAACATGAGGCCCGACATAGCACTGTGCATCGCGCGGACCGTCTTCCACATCGACATGAGGCCTTACCTCGGCCTGGTCACCGTGCCCTGCCACATAATTCAGAGCGCGGCGGACTTGGCCGTGCCGGTGGGAGTGTCCGAGTACATGCACCGGCATCTGGGGGGCAAGTCGACCGTCGAGGTCATGCCGTTGGGCGGCCACCTACCGCAGCTGAGCTCGCCGGAGATGGTCATCCCGGTGCTGCTGAGGCATATTCGCCGCAATCTTGCGGCCTAGTGCATATGTAACTTTGTCCGCTTCGTTTGAGTTTCATTCTTCCTTCTTGCAACAGAACTTAATAAAGGAAAAGGAACAGCTATTCTCAAACATCAGTACCGGTGGTTCCATCAAACGAGGCAGGATCTTCACTGCAAAATCTGGTTGGCTTCTTCCTGTGCTTAGCTAAGGTAATCAGCGCACTGAAGATCAAGAACCTGGGAAGTGTGTGGTGAATATATCCACAGATAATCCGCAGTCAATCATAGAAAATAAGCAAAACTTAGAATCTTCGCGGTCGCTCAATCTTGATTAAATCACCCTCGACATTGTGCCTCCGACGGCATGATCTCGTACAGTTGACACCACAAATTTGTCATCAAATCTTCATATACCTAAAAAAGGCCGGTCTCAAAACGCAAAACGGCACTTACAGGTTTCAGAATCAAATGAAACTTTCCAGATCCTAATGAAGGTTAATAAAGATTTTTGAAATTGATAATTCATTGAAACGATGCTCGGTTCGTAGATCCGAGTCTTATATCTCGATATGGGTTGAAATCTTGTGTGATTTCACCTAAAAATATTGGACTCATTGGAAAGCTCTCGACACAAGCATTCCAATGAAGCAAAATTCATGTGAATCTGACATCAAACATGGGATGGAGGTTATATAAGCTCAGAAAGAGCAAGCCTCAACTCAATGAGTTCGTGCTTTTTCTTGAGAGGGCTAATAACGCATATAAATACCCCTCCCATCCCCATTTTCAGAGATGATGAGTCTCTTCCTTGCCCTTTTACTCTTGTAATTCTCACAAATCGAGTTCGATTCTCATATTTATCTTGTTTTTGCATGTTATTCCGTCGGTGTTGGTACTGAAAACTCTTGCGCTTTCGAGATAAGTCTCCAACTCCCTTACTTTCAATTCCAATGGAAACCCATGCTAGGACACGTGACGTTTGTTTAGAATAATAGAATTTAGAACACGTCCCTATGCCGCCCATTTTGAATAAAAATGCATGCTGTTAGGCTGTTGTAATGCCGAAATAAAATCTCAAATTGTATGATTTATCATTGTGCTGCCGAAATGTCGCTTGCAATTATGCATGTTAATAGGCCATCATAACGACTATTTAGATCTGAAATTAGGTGTTATGATGTTGGCTGTGAAGGAACACAATAGAATGGATGATGTTGTTGTTACTAATTTATGAATTATGCAGTTTGGAGTGAATATAAAGTTTTGGACATATTGAAGTGCTGCATTCGAACACCCATTTATTTGAAAGCCAACCCATAGGTCATGTACCGAATGGATTGGATTCAAGTCAAAGATATGCTGTGATAACGAGACAAGAAGTTAAAACTCAATAGCTATCCTGATTCGAACCCATGAACTAAGGCCCATGCACGTGATTATTCATTTCATGTTTTTGATACTGAAATGATATTGGGAGATTTTGTTTCGACGCGGCCGAAAGGAAATAGTGCATTCAAGTAAAATCGTTAGGCAAAAAATAACTCCTCACTTAGTATAGTCTGCACATCACATCATTGTCATGCCTTACATAAGATTTTCTATGTCATGTTATATGTGATTATTATTGTCTTACATCTAATTTGCTATGTCATGCCACATGTGATTATTACAATATCATTTCATTGTTATGCCTTGTATCTGATTTGTCATATCATATTGCATGTGATTATTACTATGTCATGTCTTATATCTAAGTTATCGTGTCATGATGCATGTGATTGTTGCCATGCAACTTCATCGTTATGTCTCGCATCTAATTTATCAAATCCCGCTGCATGTGATTATAATCATGTTATGTCATTTCATAATCTTATAAATTGTATCCGATTTGTCATGTTTTAATGCATGTGATCATTTTTATGTCATGTTATTTTCGTATCTCATGATTGAACTTTGAATATCAATTAATATTTAGATACTCACTTTCACACAAAATCAGGGTCATGCCACTGCACATAAGCAAACAGCCTCGCCAATTGGTATTGACATTGAGCAAGTGTTCGGCAACATTTCAAGATTTAAAAAAAAATAAAATTCATGCATGCTTAGAAAATTAATGAATGAATATTTAAGGACTCAACCAAAATCTAGGGTTGCAGTGCACGAAAGGGCATCGTGTGATGCTAATCCGTCCCACAGGTAACCAAACTCTCGGACCTAAGATCTCTAGTTTTTGTATATCAGTTTCCTTAACATGTGCACTTAGATAATTGACTTTCTCATTAATGCCTAAGCCTCTACGTGCCCTTAAACCTAAGTATTATGAACAGATTGGTTGAAACTTTAGCATGGTAGTTAAGTTGGCGATCTTTTGATTCCAGTAGACTTTCCAAACTTAGGATATGGGGAAGATCTTAGGAACCGAGGCACTGCTAACTAAAGGCCCCCGGCCAGTTTGCAACATTTGAGGTGCTACGCTACATATATGCTACCATAAACAGACAATGTTTACAGCAAGACGTTTTCGTCAGTGAAGAACGACCTCTTTGCTCTGCAGAAGGAGAACAAGCTATCGGACGTGCAATGTGTTGATGACTGATCGGAGCTTGCGAATGGTAGATAAGTCAATAAAAGTGGAACATATTGACCGTAAGAATGGTGAGAACAGACCAAAGGACACGCGACCGAGAAAGAAATATGATATATCAATAGAAGATGAACGGTCTAGAGGACATGGATAAGTCAATAAGCTTGAATGGACCTTACATATGGTGACCAAACTTGAGGGCGTTAGGCTACATAACACAAGGATCCAGAGTGTACAGGGAGACGTACGGTAAAGCAAGAAGTTCTGGAATTACTTGCTACAGACGAAGTGGACAATTGTCCACACTTTTGGAAAAGAAGATCCAACTCTTTATCGATTCATATCGAATTCACATTGATGCGTCGTAGTCGTCTTGAAGCCTTGGGATTCATGAAAAGCATTCCGGAGAAGATCGAAAGCGCGTACGCAGCAAGATTTAAACTGAACAAAGCACAAGAAGTGAAAAAGCCTATACCGATTAGCAGCTCGAAAAAGTTCCCACGTCTCCTATAACAACCCATGCAACCCCCTTCTTAATTATTTGTGCCTAATCCCACTTCAACTCGGTCTCGTGGCATTTGGGTTAGATTTTTTTCAATGTATTATGTTTTATTTTTGTGGCATATGTGTTAGAGATCCTATGTTCCAACCAGACCTGTCAAACGAGTGGGGTCGTGTCGGGTCGAAAATTGTTTGATCCAAATAGATCCATTTAACTCGTTTTGACCCATTTTCATGTAATGAAAATCTAATGACCCATATCCGATCCAATCCATACCTAACTCATAGCCGACTCAACCCGTATTGCTAAAACACTTCCATATTTAACTCTTTTTGTGGCATATGTGTTAGAGATCCTATGTTCCAACCAGACCTGTCAAACGAGTGGGGTCGTGTCGGGTCGAAAATTGTTTGATCCAAATAGATCCATTTAACTCGTTTTGACCCATTTTCATGTAATGAAAATCTAATGGCCCATATCCGATCTAACCCATAACCAACTCATAGCCGACTCAACCCGTATTGCTAAAACACTTCCATATTTAACTCGATGTAGAAAAACTCGTACCCAAACTGAGACAAGAGTGTGGAATGAATGAGTGCGATATTGAGCGATGGATGGATTGAGTTTAAATAAGTTGTAAATCCATTTATGATCCATTTACGACCAATTTAATGCCCATATACTCATTTATGACCAATTTAGTGAATATAACTAACGCATTTATGACCCATTTACTGATTTATGGATTAAGAAATGGATTTATGACCCATTTTGACAGGTCTAATTCCAACCAACAACACCTAAATAATTCATCGTATTCTTAACCTTGCCGGCGCTCCGTTGATCTCCCTTATTTTCTGGATTTGGCCTTGTTTTGTCGTATTACGTGCTTTGCTCCGCTTCGCCCATGAAAATCCATCTACTTCTCACGTATCTTTTTTCGAGCAATGAATCCGATTTTCTTTCGAAAAAAAAAAAGAAAAAGAAAAAGAAAACCGACCACAGCTTGAAAAGAAAATTCTTTCCCCCCGATGAGCACTCGCGGTTCACGTGACCGGCACGGTACGAATCTCCCCCAAAATTAAAATAAAAGAAAAGGAAGAAAAAATCCGAAATGGAAAAAATCCATTTTATTTTTATTTTTCACTTTTTTTCCCCAGGTCTTCGTCATGATCTCCAAGCTCCCAGTTTAACCCAACTCCAGGTGTGTCCTCAAATCAATCCTCGCCATTTTCACCTCCTCTCCTTCCTCTCCTTCGTCTTCTTCTTCTTCATCATCTTTCGTCTTCGTCTTCGTCTTCCTTTGCTGGGCTACGCCGGGGACGAAGGAAGGAGCGAGCGGCGGAGCTGCGCAGCTCTCTCGGTCTCGGTCTCGGTCTCGGTCTCGGTCTCGATCCCCGCTCACTCTTTCACTCTTCCGCTCCCCCCGCGTCGGCGGCGGCGGCGGGCGGCGGGCGGCGGAGGGGATGGCCGCGGCGGTGTCCGAGCGTGTCGAGCTCGCCAGGCTCTGCACCTCGCGCGATTGGTCCAAGGCAATCCGAGTCCTCGACTCGCTCCTGGCTCGGTCGTGCACAATCCAGGACATCTGGTAATCCGTCTCCCTCCTCCTTCTCCTTTCCTCCCCCCCGCCGTCCCGCTTTTCTAGGTTTTGTGCAGATCCCTGGGGTTCTGCGGATTTTGGGAAATGCAATTCGGTCGGGCTTCGGTTCGGTTCCTTCCGTCTTTCGTTTGGGTGTTTTTCCGCTAATTCTGTGGCGCCTGTCGTTTTCAATCTGGTTCCAGCAATCGAGCTTTCTGCTACAGTCAATTGGAGCTGCACAAGCATGTGGTGAAGGACTGCGACCGCGCGCTTCAGCTGGAACCTGCGCTTCTTCAGGCTTATATTCTGAAAGGTTTGCCGTCGCTTGGTTCTCTCGATACGCGTTTTTCTCCATTTCCGTTTCTATGGGTTGACCGATTTACTTAGGAGTGACAAAATTCGTGATTTTTTTTACTTTCTACTTTTAATCGTCAATATTAGGTTGATGAATGGTAATTTGT